CACGCAAAGGAAAAATATTTATCTCTATGTTCATCTTAGGATACATGTTTATTTTTAGGGTTCTTATAGCGTCTGTGTCACAGTTCCCTTAGAGGACGCTTCTCACCAGGCAGATTCTTCAAAGTGAACAACAGAAGGACATGCTTAAGAACATGTGGTAAAATATGAATATGTTTCAGAGACTTTAAAAATATATGCCCTCCTTTTAGTCAGTGTCAGTTCATATTTTAGTCACATTTTAATAGTTTCAATTGTTTATTGCAACCGCAGAAAATTGTTTGTGTTTTGCGTCTAAGCTCTGAGCTCATCACTCCTCTAAGATTTATTTAACCTGCAGGAATTTCAGGAGTGATGAGATAAATTCTTCAACCCCTTTGGTTGTTAGCCTGCTGGTGGATTCTGCTGCGACGGTAAGGCTGAAAGTAAGAGCGCTGTACTGATGCAGGGCAAAGCTGACAATGACAGAGCAGAGGTAGAAACGGGAAATCTTAAAAAGCTCAAATATCTTAAATAGACCGCCAATTCAGGAGGATCGGTTGTTGTCTGACGTTTTTGCAGAATGACACATTCCAGGTGTGAAATCAGTGCAGGTTGAGTTGTCGGCCTTGTCTAGCTTGCAGGTGTCGCTCCATTCTAGTTGCTTTTTGTGAGTTGATATGAATGTGGTAAAGATGTTTTAAAAGGCACATTACAATTGTATATCTTTTTATAAAGGCCCCTGTTTTGGGCATTTTAAAACGGATCATGAAATATCAACAGATTTTGAGTGTTGATTTTTGGAAGCTGTAAAATATTAGATGTTATGAAAATTGTTATTTGACCCCCTTACTAAAACCATTTAAGGAATAGATTACTGTCCTGCAACAGATAAACATTTAAAAGAAAATGTATGGTTTTCAAAGACCAAAAAAACGATTATACCCTCCTTCACCTTGCCGTTGCATTACCTAATGCCTAATAAAAACCAGACCAACAGATATAAGGTCTTAATGTTATTTGCACTGGGAGACTTCAGAGAAGCACTGCGTGGTTCTAGTTCCTGATGCATAATAAGTGTTAGTCTCGGTGGGACGTTGGCCTTTCTGTGGCACAGGCATGCGAAGCCCCCACACTGTGTAACATTGGTGTTTTCCATTTCCACTCACGTACACCGCTGGATCTGTGCACTGTCGAGCTGACTGCCGCTGGATTGATTCACCTGTCGCCTGAGCAAGTTTGATCCCCAGGGGCGGTCTTGAAACGACTCAGCTGGTGAGGCGCTGCTCTGCCTCCACACCCCTCCTCGCGTATAAAACCCCTCTGCTATCCCTTCACAGGGCCTCTTGCTCGGTTCTCTTCCCCCCGTTCACAGAGCGATAAACTAGATTTATAGTTACGGCGGCTAAGCAAACTCACCGAGTGTGTTAACTTTATCTTCAAGGGCGTGAAGGCAACAAGGGCTGCAGAGTAATGACTCGTCTGTAGACGCGGATTCAATGGAAAAAAAGGTCACATTTCTCTGTGATAAGGGAAACTGTAGCATGGTGACAGTGACTGACAGAGGGAGGAATTATTGCAAGGAAGTAAACCTGACTGCTCTAGGGCTACAGAAACACACACACATATACACACACTCAGATAAACAGAAATATGAGATGCTTACTGTAAATATAGCAAAGTGAAGCTGTCATTTAGGGTCCATTCATGTGGATACTATATATGATTGAAAACATAAAAAGAAGACCCCTCCATGATAGCATTAATCTCTGTGGACTAATTTCTCCAAATGTTTTGTTTGCCTTCCTTTAACTTGTGTTTTTGAGCCAGAAGTGAGCACAGAGGGCGGAGCTAAAGAGAAGCAAATGATAGAGCTGCATACATAGCAAGTATCACTCTGAAGCCTTCTTAAACTTAATCACATTACCTTCTTGAATCTTAGAGCTACAACTATTAATATCAGCCTTTCATCTATTATCATAAATATCAATATTAAAGCCAGTCTTAGAGCTGCTAGACTTTGCTGTTACTGCTAATACTACACATACTTTTAACATCATTACTGACATCGTAGCTACAGTGTAAATCTATCTTATACATTGTTGTTGTTTTTGCTCTGTATCATCTCTATCCTTCTTTCTGTATCTCACTTAACCCCACTTTCCAAGCCCAACACAGTTTCGGCAGGTGAGTGTTCAACATGAACTTGCTTCTGCTCGAGGTTTCTGATCCGTTAAAGGCTTTATATGCAATTTTTCACACTTAAATGTAATAGAAATCAAATATATCCTCTGAAAATAACAGATTAATGACTGTCTACAATGGATGTAACACCCGAGTCCCACTATCTGTGATGTTTTCCGAGTTTTCCGAGTCATATTTTCAATTTGTTTACTCCTCCCCTCGTGAATAAAAGTTGTTTAATTGAGGGACTAGAGAAAAGAAGAATAACATACTGTACTCACTGCTTAACTGCGTTTCTAGATCACATTCATTTCAAGTAAATTTACATGCAGTGTGAAGATACGAGCATAATAATGATTGCTAGCAATAGCATGCTAACACAACAATGCACCGCAAGTTGTTTTGGTTTCATGCTGGTGCTCAAGGGCGACATCTGCTGGATCAAAAAATCACATGTAAAGCCTTTAAAAGGACGTTTTGTCTTACCACTGTGACACTTTGCTGAAAGTTGCTTAGTGCTCATGATGGATTATTGTTGGGTCTTTGGAGATAATCTAACAAAGAGAAGCCTAAGGTATTTTATCTGCTCTTTTTGTAAAGTGTTTTAAGATAGCATTTGTTATGAATTGGCGCTCTACCAATAAAGATTGATTGATTAAACTTAACATTTCTTAAATTAAAGCAAAACAAGCTGTCTCGGCATAATGTTGTCTGTTGACATTTTATTTTCCATTGAGCTGTCCTTAAACATCGTATCCCCAAGTACAAGTTCCCTTATGTGTTTACTTTGAGTCATTTGCCAGTTTTGAAGTTTTTTTTACATTTTATCCTCTTTGTGCTGTTGTTTTGATCTAGTTTCTACTTTTCCCGCAGTAAACAGACTGACAATCAATTAATCGGACTTCTTCCTGCAGATTGATATGATTACAGTTAGTCCTCCAGAGTCAGTGATAAGCGCTACATCCTGAGCAACCATTTGCTTTTCTAAGTAATAGTTTCTTCTTCTTATCAATGGAGCTCTATTGAAGGATAGCAGACCATTCATGGGGGCTGTGGCTCAGTTGGTAGAGTCGGTCGTCTCTAAACTGGAAGGTTGGGGGATCGATCCCCAGCTCCTGCAGCAGCATGTCCAATTTGTCCTTTGGCAAGACCCTTAAGCCTTAATACTCCTGCTGCTTATGCATGTATATGAATGGGATAAGTTACTTCTAGTGTGTGAATGGGTGTGAATTGGTAGGTGGGATATGTGGTGTAAAGGCACTTTCAGTATGGTCTGAAGACCACCAATCAGAATCAAGTATTCAGCACAGCCATGTAATAAATACTCTTGGGATGACAATTTGATAAGCCATGAGGCTAACTTGTTCAAGGGTATAATGTCATGAAAGTGTACCTTAAAAAAGTTCCATATCTAGATCTGTGTCATTCACTTACTGCCCCAACCAACACAATCATGCAGAGTCTATATAGTTTGTACTGGGGGAAAGTCAATTTTGGAACTTATAGCTTCCGAGGTAGCCCATGTACATGTTTGCAAACTACATGTTATTACCATTTCAAGCCTATTTATGTTTACCCTTGTTACCTTTGTGAGACACATTAGAGACCAGACTTTTAAAAGCTCACTTTGAGTTGTAACCCAACCCACCCAGCTATAGGGCTCACCGGCGGTTCCACTTGGATGTGTTAAATTGGGAAAGGGTCATGTGAACCAATAAACCTACCCTAATGGATCTTTAGAAGATTGAAAAACCCTTACACACTATCAATCCATATCTTTTTCAAAGTAGCATCTTTCTATTTCAACTCCCATTCAGCAGCTGGTGAAAAGGTAAAAGCTGAAACTGGTTTTCAATTTGAGAATCAAATCTTGCCTTACTTTTCAATGTAAGAAGAGACTAATTGCTCCCACTTTTATGTCTGTGCTTGACTACATTGATGTTTTAGACATGCATGCCTCATCTAAAAGCTTACACTCTCTGGACACTGTATATCATGGAGCTCTGAGGTTGATCACTCATTTTAAATCCCTTACTAGTCACTGTTGTATACACATGTCGGATGGACTTCTTTGACCAAACAGTCATTGTTTTCCCTGATGTGTTTGTCTATCCTTAATTTACTCTCTACAAAATGGCAGTCACCAGTGTATTCTTGATTTTCTAAAATAAAAATCAACAGTGGAAAAAACATGTGCCATGTTGGAAACATGGCAATTATAGTGAGTGTTCTCACATCTTTCTCTCAGATATCATATTGAACACCTTCCCACCTCACAAAAATGTGATGGTTTATTTGGACTTGTGCTATAAAGAAGGAAGAGGTGAAAAAGACATTCTGGCCTTTCCTTTTGATTTAACTCCCCCGGCCGCCCAACCAGCCACTTCATGCAGGCGTTTACAGTAGCCCTGACACTCTGTGTGGTCAGTAACAGTAGATAAGGACATGCTGACGTGACTGGCAAAGTCAAAGTTTATTTGTTGGTTGTATGACTTTTGCAGATAGTGGGAGTAAAAAATGGATGGGATGTATTCTATCCAAACTTCTGCCTGTGTATGTTTGTGAGCGAGTGTGTATGTGCGTGCAAACACTCAAATGTGCCTGTCCTAGTGTTTTATGAGTCAGTCTTTACAATACACAATACATTTTTTTCTCTGTGTCACAGCAGGGAATCAGAATAGCTGTATTTTCCTTTCATATCTGACAGTCTAAAAAGAAAAAAAAACTCATTTAGATATCAAAACATTTATCCCAAGATTAAAGCTGCATGTTTTAGCAGCTCTTTCTTTTCCACTAAACATTTTTCCTTGATTTTTTTCTCTCTCTGTGTTTTCTGCCAGCTGCCAAGTACAACGGTGAAATCTACAAGCGTCGGCTGATGGTGGAGCTGCCAACCAAGGGCGGGCTTCCTCTCCAGCCCATGGGCAACTCAAGACCCACCATGGGCAACATGCCATTAATGTCTCCACAGATGACTTCAAACATGGCTTCTAACCCAATGACCTCAAACCCCATGAACCCCACCATCACTCAGATGTCCTCCATGACACCAATGACATCCATGATACCTATGACCTCGATGACACCCATGACCTCCATGACTCCCATGACTTCCATGCATCAGATGACCTCCATGACTCCGATGACCTCCATGACTCCCATGACCTCTATGAGTCACATGACATCCATGACACCCATGACCTCTATGAGTCACATGACATCCCTTACTCCAATGTCCTCCATGACCCCAATGACCTCCCTTGGTCCACTGACTCCTGAGCCAGTGGCCACCTATGTCACTGAGATGCCCAGGGTCTCAACTTTGCCATCAGAACGGCACTTAGCTGGTGGAGGGGGAGGGGGAGGAGGAGGAGGAGGACTCAAGTTGAATGGCCAGAAACACAAAGGCAGCCATGGCCACATTGCCCACAGCTCCCATAGCTCTCACAGCTCTCACACTTACACTCACACTCATGGCCACAGTAGCAAGCCGCCAGGACATGGAGCTACCTCCCTGGCTCACATGGCGGGGACTATGCCAGGTGGCACATCCCTGGGTATCTCCAGGACGGCCAACGCCCCCATTGGCGCAAGCTCGGCTACAATGGGTCGCCCATTGGCGTACAGCTCCAACACAATCGCGACCGGTCATGGTATGGGGCTAGGGCTAAAGGGTTGGGATGGGACTGAGACAGTGGGCCGAAGGAAGACTTACGGGCACAAGAGGCCTCAGTGCACTGTGCTGGAGCCCAACCAGCTTCATGGCACCAGAGTCCAAAGCCACAGCCAACACTTCCTCCCCACACAGCCCTACTTTGTTACCAACAGCAAGACAGAGGTGACTGTGTGAGAGAGAGGAATAAAGGGAGAAAAAAGGGGAAATGGATGCATGAGGAGGGGTGGCACAAGTAATCTCTGAGTTGAGACACAACTCCTTCGGTGGTCAAAGATGCAGATCAATGTGTGTGTTTGTGTGGCTCATTGGTATACTGGTGAATGTTGTGGGGCAGCGACACAGTGTCTGAGTGGTCCTCGTTTCACAGAGTTCACCAATCAAATCACTGAACAGACCCATGTTATTAAGGATGGCATCTATGTTGACGGCATCAGTAACCATAACTTCAAGGAGCCCACAGAGCCGTATGTCTGTACACTTTTGGGGATATTAGAGTGTTTTCTCACAGCTAATATCGACCCAGTTATGGTAACAATACTTGAGCATAACAGGGCAACTACACACAGATGAAGTGGGAAACTGCTACTAATAAAATGGATTTGCTTTTACGAACCCAACCTGAGAAGCAATACAAGGGATCAAATGTAAAGTATCATAGGGAAGACAACGCAGCAAGTCACTCGACTAATCTCGCAACAAGAGCTGTGATCATCAAAGCGTTGGATTGTTTGGAAGATATACCATTCCCTTATGATTACAGCCCTTAATCTCCTGAGGGCTTTGAAACAGACACACATGATGAGGGCGCTGAGTGTTGGACTGTAGACCTGCAGGGCTTTGTACTGCGACGATTCAGAAGCGCCTTCATAAGCTTTGCAGCTGAAGCTGAAGGTCGCCCTTTCTTTTCACATGGCTCCAGCACAGAGAATGGAGGCTGTCACACTGGCATTGTTCTCTTCTGATCTCATCTGTGTGGTGACAGCTGGCTCAGAGGATGGACAAGGAGGCAGGGAGGCAGCATCTGGATGATAACGCAGCTAGCAGAGGACCCTCGGCGCATGATCCTCATACTCACAAATCTATTTAAATTCATCCACATGCAGACACCTCTTTTCATACAAACACAAAAACACACTGAAACATAAACTCTAGAAAACTCACACGACAGGGTTTGACTATGTGTTTTTAGAGAGGGGTACCGTACCAATAATTTTAGAATAAAGTTAGGGATGCCTGAAATAGCTTCAGTATTTCCACAATTTCTATAAGTCAAACTAGACTATCGCAAACTCTAAAACACTCAAATAAAACACCTGGGAAGTTTTAGCTATTGTAAATGGCAGCTAACTAAGAATTCCCATTTTTTCTATTCAATCATAGGGTTTGGGAAATTGAAATACTTTTAGATTAGAAAACGATTTACATGTGGCTTTAAACAGTTCAATGGTTTGAAAAAAAGATGCTATTCTTCTTGCCAAGAGTTCGATGAGAGGATTGATACCTCTTGTTGAATGTTAAGTCGGAACCAGAAGTCATTTAGCTTAGCACAAAAACTGAAAAAAGGAGGAAAAAACTAGCCTGATTCTGTCATAGTTGTTCAGGAAGAGCAACTTCTTGGAGTCGCCCTAGGTTTTGCCAGGTAACAAAATATTGGACAAGTATGAATTTTATGAATGAATACATAAAATGGACAAAAATTTAACACCAGTAGATGGAGACATCGTCAGAATAGCTTTGATCATACCTAACGTGGAAAAAAAGTGACTTCTTGAATGAAATATAGTTTTTGAAAATGAGGGTGTGCCCTCAAAAAGGTTTCTCAAGATCTGACTAAATTACAGTTTTTATACAACAAATAGTTTTAGAGTAATATAGAAGCACAGATACTGTAAAGTACATGTAAAATTAACAAACTATATACTTAACTTATTTCATAGAATGGACCAAATGTAAGCCTCGGCTATTATGTATGCACAGAATATTGCATAAGATGTTAACCTTATCTTGTTCTAGACAAGAGCAAGAAACTACTGTGAAAGTCGGTGTAACAGGAATAAAAATAAAACACTTTTTAAGCAGATGTAGAGTATACTGCCAAAAGAAACTAGGCTTGATTAGATCACTGTACTCAATCTAAAAAAAAAAACATCACAACCAGCAGAAAAAATAAAAACTATCTGGGTTACATGACTGAAACATAAAAATAAATCCTTAAGTCTGACAAATAGGCCACATCTTCTAAGGGCTGCTCAGAGCCTACTTGCTCGTTGTGTAATGATGTGAGACTTATTAGCAGCTGCAGCCACAGTTTTCGACCTTGTTATCTAAAGTGCTGCTTCCACCTCTAGGACTGTCCTCACACTTGCTATTAGGATGCGTTCTTATGTAATCAGGCTGTGATCAGACAATGTTTAGCAACATTAAAATAAAAATGTGAGTGCACCAAGGATACAGTGAGGACAGATTATGATTAGACTGTGTAAATCATCTCTGGGTGTTAATCAGAGTAGCATTTCGCATTAGTGTAAGTCCAATTATGTGTTGCAAAAATTGTGTGCAGCAGAGGCCAAACAGGAAATGGGTTGTATCACACTTAGAAATAATGATTTTAAGGACATTTGCAAATACAGAACAAGAAAGACAAGAGGTCCATTTCAGAGCATGTAAATATAAGAGGAAGATGTGTACAGGACTATCTGTGTCTAGACAAAGACACTAGATTCTAGTGTGACACATGTTACTAGAAACCCCTGCAGAGCTGTACTCAGTTCAGGTGTAACCAGACTGTATGCAGATGTTAGGTGCAAAAGAACGGTGGGTGAAAAAAAATGCAGTATCTAAATCAAAAGATGAAACAAATAAGCCAGTTGAGCGTAAGACAAGAGGGGTCAGCAGGAGCTGCCTCACGCTGTGGATCCCCTGCTGCCTTCAGGGTCACACGACTGGAAACGTGAGACCAAACTGAAGACACGGATCAGGATTTAAGAAGTCATCAGAGCGTTAGAATGTGTCACCTATACACCCACAGCTAGTACAAACACACACAAACACACACACAAAACACACTACAGGGTTGGACTCTGCTTTCCCTCTGCTCCAACAGTGCCGAGCGGCAGGTGTCATCACAGCAGGGAGACAAAGAGACAGTACTGTTACTTCGCCTGTTGTACATGAAAGACTGTGAAACTCCAGACCTTGGCCCTTTGTAGCGAAAACTGACATTATGCTTTTTATATATAAAGATATACATAGCCTTTCTTTTCATCTTTACTTCACTTCCTTTCTCTTTTTTTGTTTTCTTCTTCTTCTTCGCTCCCTCCATACCCGTATGGAAGACCTTCAGAGCCTAAATATCTGTGGGAAACAAAACGGGGACTGTGATGAATCTGTTCTTTGATCGTGGAGTGCAGTCATGATGAGACAGTGAATAATAATAATTCACCCCCACCTTGGAAAGGCATGATTGGTTTCCCTCTTTGCATTTGTTCTAGCAGGAAATAGTGATTGATTCCGTGTGCCAAAAAATGTCATTCCGTTTGCAATTTTGTACCAATTTGTGTCCTCTTGAACACTGCGCACATTTCACTCTTTATAACTTTTTCTACATTTGTGTGTGTGTGTGATCCAACTTTTGCATACAATGATTTCCTCTGAGGAAGTAAAAAAAAAACAACAAAAGCAAACAAAGTGAATTATATATAAATGGAGTTCACAATCCCATAAACCTCTTTGCGTCCGATGAAATCCTTCTGCAAATGTTTTTTTTCTTTTTTTTTTTATCTCCTTCCTGTATTTATTTTTTGACAGCTGGTGGTTTTGTTTCTATCAGAGTTGAGAAGCAGGTCAATGTTTCCTCAGGATGTGCATTATCGGAACCAGTTCACTTAATCCTGCAAAAGCGAAAATGTGGAAATATGAACCCCTCCTTGCCACCCTATACTTCTCCATCCTTAAAGCCCATTCAGCTCTGCAAAAGCAGCCACTGGAACAATTGGAAAGCAGGCAGCTCAGGAGGAACAATTGGTAAACAAAAAGGAATAAAAACACTCACACCATTAACAGCCCAAATAAACCTGGCAGAAAGTAAGGAAATGGCAACGCTGAGCCGGTCACAGTTGACAGGGTCAAGGCCATGGATGAGTGGCTTCAGAAGGCATTCATGTCTGACATTTTTCATCAGACGAGTCACTCAGACAAAAAATGCCACAGCAGAGACAAAAGGACATAGGTGGTCTGCAGGCTAACACAGCTAGCTCAGAGACAGAGTCAACAGACGCTCAGAAACAATGTTCATCATTTATTGGAAAGACATTCAGTGAGATTCTTGTTTTTCTACATTTTGACAACACATTTTGATGATAAAATGTCCTTTTTATTCATACTGGTTGATCAAATAATGCACTCAGTACATTCAGTGGCTGATAAGTGACTTTAAATCAATTCTAAGGAAAGAGGTAAATGAGCATACGTCTACATTTTACTGGCTCAGTTCGGAGTGCTTTTGTAAATTGAAGGACAAATTCATAGACCAGAGAGGTTTGTTTTTGTCTTTCAGAACACTTTACCTTGTTAGAGTTTCTATTGTTTCAACTTAAGGTTCAGTAGCTTCTAGTTTTTAATGGTTTTATCATATGTCAACAACTGATGTTTTACTACAGTTCAGTAGAACAGCTTAAATAAGCATTGACAGGGTATCATCATTGGAACATAAGGACGGCCATGTTGCAACAGCTTGGTCATAACATCCCTTTAAACTTTAAGATTCACTCCAAAATACATTCATTCTAATTCTCGTGGTTGAGAGATCTGTGGAGTTGCTCCATGTTATCAGAAAATGCATGGACATTGTTCCTCTAAAGATCAATTCTGGCGCTGTTGACCGATAGCCAGCCACCAAATCAATAATGTAGGAAACCATTGGGCTTAATAACGCTGTTTCTGGTTTAAAGTTGACCTGTTATGCGGATTCCCATTTTAAGATGTATAATGCTGGATCCCCATACTAGCCATGGGCAACGTTTTAGATCATGAGGTAAATGTATGTTGGAGTAATCCAACTTTAAGTCTGCAGAGTGTGCTAAACGGCTTGCTGCTAAACTTGATAAAAACGAGAATTCAGAGATACTTTTTTCTTGGCTGCAAAACACGGGAAGCTACTCTATAGGTTTCACAGA